TCTTACACTATTGGCAGTCATAATTTAAATGTCATGACCGCTCTTATTCGCATCGCTCGTGACCTCATTTTTCAAACCGCTCTTATTAGGATCGGTCGTGACATTTCATAAAGTGATTCATTTCTATCGCTTTCTCCTTGTATTAAATCTTTCGTATTAAAAATATATGGTGTTTATTGAACAAATATGTCTTTAATAAATGTCCATCCTCCTAAAACGTATTTCGGTATGGGAGACATTCAAAAGTCATTGGGTTCTCTTCCTGGATTCCCATGGGCAAAATATCCCGGAGAAAAACATCTCCCAGGGCACAATTATACAGGTCCAGGCACGAGATTAGATCTGCATTTAGACGAAAATGATAATCCCAAACCAGGGGAAGAACCCGTTAAGAGTTGACGCAGCAGCGCTCAAACACGACATACTGTACAGAAACAAAGACGTAACATTCAGACACCAAGCAGACAAACAAATGATAGACGAACTCAAAAATATTCCCAATCCAACTTTCAAAGAGAAATTACAGAGGGCTCATATCATAAAACTCTTGAAGGCAAAATTGAAATTGGGTATGGGCATAGCAGACGAGATTCACAAAGAATTTCGAAAAAACAAACATTACCTCAAAGTCAAAGTTTTTGATAAAGATGAAATTTGGTCAGCCGATTTAATCAACATGACAGTCGAGAGAGGATACAAGTATTGTTTGACGGTGATCGACTTATACACGAGATACGCTTGGGGGGTCTTTCCCTTGAAAAACAAATCGGGTCTGACTGTCAAACAAGCATTCGAAACCATAATGAAACAATCCGACAGACGACCCCTAAAGTTGTGGGTTGATAAAGGAAGCGAATTTTACAACAGAAATGTGAAATCTCTGGGGTTTGAAATTTACAGTACGCATAACGAAGGTAAAGCTGTAGTAATAGAAAGATTTAACAAGACTCTAAAAAATAAATTATTCAAAAAATTCACTGAATTGAAATCTCAAAAATGGCTTAAAATATTACCAGTTGTTGTCGACGAATACACAATAACAAAATACATTCGTCTATAGGTGTCACACCAACACAAGCCTCTAATAAAGTCCGTCAACACTCGAAACAACTTTGAAAACGAGATTAGCAATTTGAATATTAAACCCAAATTCAAAGTTGGAGATCGAGTTCGTATTTTTAAATATAAATCATTGTTTCAGAAAGGTTACGTCGGCTATTGGACTAACGAGATATTCATCGTTGATAAAGTAAACAACACATCACCTCCCACGTATGAATTGATCGATCAAGACAAAGAACAAATCATAGGAAGGTTTTATCAAAATGAACTTCAAAAAACTGACTTTTAAAAATGAATCTCGAAAATGAAGATTTAGATGAAAGGTTAAGAAATTTAGATGTCGACAAGCATTTACGCTCTCTTAAATAAAGATTTTTTAAATTTAAATGTAAATTTATCTTCAAAATATTATTGAATGTGTTTTATCAGAATGTTATACAAGTTTTTTCAAACACAAACTACGTATATATTTCGTCAATTGGGTCTTCAGCAATACTTACCGCATACTCCGAAAAACACCTAAAAAAACAACTTAAAAAATGAATGCATTTCTCGATAAATACGGAAAAGACACGACCACAAACTTTCAACTTGTGAAATGGGCCAAGGAATTGAACGTCTCGCCGTTTTATTATTGCATGCGAGATGAAATTGATGAACTGAAATACAAGAAAGGTAAATTTTACGCCATCACAAACATTCACACGTCGGATCAAAAAGGAGTTCATCACTCTGCTCTACACAAAGATTCTTCGAATAACTTTTATTTCTTTGATTCTTTACCGAAAGAAGAGATAAAGAAATTGACTAGCAAGCCAATCAAATGTTCTACGTTTCAAATTCAAATGCCAGGACAAAAGCTGTGTGGACAGCTGTCGCTTTGGGTTTTATATCGGTTGAGTTTGGGAGAAAAGTTTGAAGAAATTATAATAAATTTAACTCAATAAAAATGGCAAACAAGTTTGGATTAGGATCTTTACCTCTAGAATCCAAAAATCCCATGACGACGTTTATAAACAAAGCGAAACCTTTTTTCGTGGATCAAATCGGAGACACCTTACAAGGGGATATCAATATGAACAATTTCAAAATAACTAATTTAAAGTTTCCAGGAAACGATAACGATGGCGTGAACAAGAAATATTTACTGGATCAAATATACGCAATTCAAATAGATAAGGACCATGTTGAAAATAGAATAAATGACGTGAAAAGATACCTCAGACGAAATATTAAAAATCTTGTGGACGAACCCAAACTACAACAAGAGTTAACGAGTTTGAAACGTCTTATTCAAGTGGATAAAACAAGTCAGTTGCAAAATTTAATATCTAAATTAGACGATAAGATTACGAAGGTAAAAATAGACGTCCAACGTTTAATAGACAACCCAAATGTAAACGAGGATAGATTGAAACGAAAACTAACCGCTTTGGAAAGAAAACTTGGCGAATTGCTAGCAGAACTAGACAAGACCGCAGACAAAACCGAGTTACAAAATTCGATATCCAATTTGAACGAAAAGATCGCGAAGCAAAAATCAGATGTTCAAGATATAATTAACACACTTCCCATTGACAAAGATACGTTGAAACAACAATTGACTGCTTTGGATACTAAAATCACGGACGAATTAGAAAAAGAAGTGGGTGTGATTAAAAACTTTCTTCAAAATAAATTTCGAAATGATATGAAAAATTATATTAAAGAACAGGTCAATCTTTTGGTATCTAGAATTCATGACGATTTTTTGAGACAAGAGAGAAAGTTGAGCAAATTAGAAGCTATTGTCACGGACAAATTATATTATTTCAATCTTCCATTCGAAAGTGACACTGTCTTCGATAGAAAAGACCAAATTTATAAATCAAACAAATACAGATTCAAAGCAGAAATAAAAGTGGATTCTCTCGCATACGGAGAACCTAAAAACGTATTCGATATCGGCGAAACGGAAGCGTTTACTTTTCGAGGTAATTGTCTGATTCAAATAGAGTTTCCCATGAAGGTTAAAGTCAATAAAGTAGTCTTCAAACAAACCGGTAATGCCGTCAAACATATTTCATTATTCAATGATGGTAATTTGGAAGAGAATATAAATTTGATTGATAAAAGGGATCAGGAAATTGAAACGAAAAATGGTAAATATGTAGACACCTTTAAAATGGAAGTAGAAAATGATAAGGATATCATTGGAATCAAATATTTGGATATGATATTGGAGACGGAAAATCCACCATTAACCAACATTGTCAAAATTCCACCATCACTTATAATACCCGTATACGTACCCGGACCAATAGAATCGAGCAGTCACGAGTTTTTACGAAGCAACAGACTTTGACTACGTAAAACTGAATTTCGCTTTAGGTGGAAAATACACCTCAATCGATGTTCATAAAAGTCAACAAGAAAGAGAGTTTATAGTACATTTATCGTTTGCCGAAGGTTCCGACTCCATCCTTAATGCTGGTGGTTTTATTTCTAGAGCCAAGATAAACATCGAAAAAGAAAAAATAAAATATTCCTATCATCTTAAAGAGGACCATACGAAAAAAGAAATGTCGTTAGTACGCGTAAATGTTTTTACTTTTAATACCCGCAAATATAATAATGCTAGGCCAAACAAGCGCGCTCTATACGATATTCCGTGGTTCCATTTATCGGAAATTCACTTAATTTAACGACTTAAAAAATAGAACTCGAAAGCAGACAACAATACATGATAGACAAACAAGAAGAGTTGAAAATAAAGTTAAGACAGTGCTATACATGCAGGAAAACATGGAGTAGAATCGATTCTTTTTTCAAAACAGCGAGCACAGTTCTAACGGTAGGAGTAACGGTGGCAACGGCCGTGACTGGTGGATTAATGCTTCCGGTCATCGTCCCAACCGTATTGGCTGCATTAACAGCCGTTCAAACGACTTCTTGCGGTCTCATCACTTTAGGTTTCACAAGCAAAAAGAAAGCTCATTATAAAAAGAAAACGGATATCTTGAATATGTATCTTAATCAATTGTACATCTTTTTCGAAAGATCGAGAGAAGACAAGAACATAACAGTTGAAAAATTACAAGAATTCAATGAAATTTTGGACAAATTCCATACAGAAATATCAGCGGTCAAAATAAAGAAATAATCAAAAATATATACTTAAAAAAATATGAATAAAATCGAACTTGCAGTGCTTTCGAGTATGAGTGATGATGCGTTATTCGCTTGGGATTGCGAAACGTATTCAGAAAAAAACAGTTGAAGAGCAATTCCTTATGCTTGCATTTTAATTAATTTAGAAAAACTAAGAAAAAAGTTAGAAACGATAAAAAATATCTTTCCAAATATAAATCCTACTGATAATGTTCCAGAAGAATTTTATGATAAACTAATGAATGTAGTAGAACTATTTGTAGGTATAGATTGTATAGATCAAATGTTGAAATATTTAGGTCAATATGATAGAAAGAGATTAATATTAATTTCTCACAACAGCAGTGGATTCGACAACTGGATCGTGCTTAAAAATGCAAAAAAACTAACGCATTGCCCTTTAAAAACACCCAGAGGAATTCTATCTTTACCTTTATCTAATCCATACACGGATGAAGATTTACAGAAAAAATGGAAAAGACAGAAAGAAATAAAGGGTAATTATTTACAACATCCTCTAGTTTGGCTGCATGGGGAAATTATTCTAATCGCACACTAATCCTTTTATAAGAAATTTTATCAGACAATCTATTAAAGGAGGAAGAGTTTCGGCAAATAGAAAATCATTTGAAACGAATAAAATGGATGAAATTTGTAACGTATTAAAGGAATATATTTCACAAACAGAAAGTAATAACATAATTGATTTATTCAAAGAATACAGTGCAAGCACAAAAGACAAAACGGAGGTTCATTCGAGACTTAAAAGAATATAATGTACTAAACTAATGGCATTTGATGCTAACAGTTTATACGCTTCTGCCATGTCGGATTTAGACAGTGAATATCCGACAGCGGAAAGTGGAAGACCGTTTCTACCAGAAGAAGAAAATAAACAAAAATTCAGACCTAGAACAGCTATTTTAACAGTGTGGTTTGACTATCCCAAAAACATGTTCTTCCAACCGATACCAGCTACAGATAAAATCACTTTCCCGAATAAAGAAGGTAAAAAGGAAACTGGTAACAAAATCAGGTAAAGAAATGGTTTCTGTCATGACGTTTTAACATCGGTTGATATTCAAGAAATAGTGAAAGCCGGTGGACGAATTATTAGAATATTAGATGGTATAGTTTACGAAGAAAATTTTAAAACTCCACCCTATAGAGATTATATTTTAATTTTGAGAGATTTAAGAAATAAATATAAACGAGAAGGTAATATCGTGGGTAGTAATTGCATGAAATTATTAGGTAATTCCTTGTATGGTAAATCAATTCAGAAAGACATATTCACAACTAGACATTTATGGAATGAAGCAACTTTACAGGCCAACTTTGATTCACGCGTTAAAACCTATGAGAAAATTAATGATGCTCAATATATTGTTGAAACAGAAATTGAAGAAAAAGAGATTACTACCGAAGATAGTAAATCTACACAACTAACACCTAGTCATTTGGGATCATTCGTTTTATCTCACAGTAAAAAAATAATGAACAATTTCATTCACGTCATAGATGGATTTTATAAACCCGAAATATACTATACCGACACCGATAGTTTGTACATTTCATCCAAAAATTGGAAAAAACTAAACAGAGCTGGTTTGGTCTCCGAAAAAGACTATTGCAAAGGTAAAAACGATTACGGTGACGGTGGAATTATATTTGGTTTATATTTAGCACCAAAAGTCAAATACAACATCGTTTTGACTTCTGATGGTGTTTTAAAAGAAAAGAAAACGTTTAAAGGTTATTCTAATGATAAGTTAAGTGTAGAAGATTACGTTCAGTTAGCAAGCGGACATGATGTGTCGAACGAATTTAATAAACCATAGGAAAAAAGTTTCACCAATGGAGTAGTTATTCCAAATGATAAACAAACTAAAGTTTTTAGAAGTTATTTGAATAAAACCACCAAACAGTGAAGGAATTATGTATCCTTACAACGACAAAGATGAGTAAAGTTTTGATGAAAACTATGAATTTGATGATTTCGATTATCTTACTATTCAAGAAGAGAATAAAGATTGTTTTAAATGAAGTTGAATGACAATTTCTTCGTTGCCAAAGTCTATGAACCTGTTTTTACCGTCTTTGATTTCCAGATTTATATCTTTGATCATGAAAGAATTGACTGGTAAATAGGTCGTTTGAAACGGTTTCTCTATAATTCTAAATCCGATCGGCACCGTAAAAGTCGGTATGCTGTATATGATTTGGCGTTTGTGCTTGTTGAAAAATCCACCGTTGATCAAATTACAGTGAATGTTGATCACGTCGATGTCGTTCTCGATGTTGGCCTTGTACGGCGCCAATGTCGATTGCGCGTATATTCCTTTATCGAACCCTAGTAACGCATTCAACGAATTTTCTACGTTGAAATCGACTTGACTGTTATTTCTCAATATCAGTTTTATTTTGTTCAGATTCAAATTACCTTTGAATTCGATATTGTGTTTGACGTTCACGCTTCCTGCGTATTCGGATAGGTAATCGTTGATGGCCACGTATTCGTAGCTTCCCGCTAGTGAGCTTATGGTTTTGAACGTAACTCCGTTCTCTGTAGATATTTTTAGTTGATTGTTTTTTTCATTGATGTTTTTAATGGAATTGTAAACGGAGAAATACTTTAATCCCAGTTCGTACTGTTTATTGCGATCGAGTTAATACTCGTAGTCTAGAGACAATTTGATGTCTGATTTATTCGAGGTGATAACGAACAATTGTTCTTTATTGGACATTTTTAATGACATTTATATAGTCTTTTTTAGTGATGATTTATTTCTCCAAAAGCCGTTTTAATATGCCATTGACTTCGTTGTATTGTCTGATCGATCGATGACCTTCTTTCATGGCCGCTAATATTATTTCTAATCTATTAAGCAATTCTTTATTGTTGTCGGATATACCTTGCCCAGATGCCACCATATCATCGAATTCGTCTATTTCTTGTATGATTGGTGGATAATCTTCTGCATATTCATCTACCTCCTCTTGCTCAATAACTTTTGTTATATATAAATCAACTTCTTTCAATCTTCTTGTTTCGGGTCCTGACTTTCTGATCGCATGTAGAAATTTTGAGTATGCTACTAAATCCTTGTAATCGGCAATTTCAACATCCTCGCCATTCATTAAATCTATTAATCCTTTCGTTAATGTAAATATAAAGTCTTTTGTGTCAATTTTGAATTGTGGTGAATTTCCACTAAATCTTATCCTAAAACCATTAAACAATAACCCCACTTCATCAATGATTGGTGAAATGCTCTTTGGTAAATGTGGGTAAGGGTTTGAAAAAAGACGTTTTATATCATCTAATGTCCTAATTGTAATACCATTATATTCAATCGGTTTGGGTTCTATATGAGGGGTGGGTTCTATAGCGAGTCTCTTTTTAATATCTTCTTGACTTTTTAATATGGGTTGAGTCTGTAGATTTTCCTTTAATCCGAGTTGTTGTAATCTGTTATTTTCAACTTGGGTCTTTATTTTATTCTTAGCTTTGATATATTCTCTATTTCTTTTTAAAAAATTATTCCAATCCGTCATTTTTAAAAAAATAAAATTAACATATATCGATCATAACTCTTTCTCCCGCAGGTTTTCTAGTATTAAAAATACATATCCATGATCATCTGGGTTTCTCCATTGAGCTTTACAAACCTTTTTAAATGTATCTCTATCCATTCCGTGATTTATAGACTGAATGATTTGAGATAAATCTTTATCATTTAATTCAAATAATAAAAAACAATTTGCATTTTTTCTAATGAACATAGAATCCATCCAGTAAAAAGATTGGGATTGGAATAAGCAGTGACAGTTGTGATGTCTTCCTTTGGTGAAGAATTCTTGTTGAACAGTTTGATTTCTTTGCGCTACGCAGTCGTCAAACAATATTAAGTTCTTTCGATTGCTATCAATATTAGACAAGTCTAGATCATTAACATTTTTCGTAAGAAAAACTTTTATATCCGTTGGATTGAAAGATGGATTCTTTGATTTAATGAAGTTTTCTATGATAGTCTGAGAGTCTGGCAATTTTTGAAACCAACCATTAGATATCTCGCTGGTTTGACGGTGTTGGTGATTGGCCACGTGGTGGATTCTCCCGTTAAAGTCATGCTACCTACCGTGTTACGACGAAGAAAAGCAATTTCGATGTCTTTGGTTAAAGAGTTGAATATTCTCGTTTCCACTTCTACGGAAGGAGTGATTACCGGTATGTAAAGTTGGATATTCGTTATTTCCAATTTTGCGTCAGAGTTGTTTTCACCAAAGAATATCTTATTGTCATTGATTTCTCTTTGCAAATGAATTTTATACGGTAAACCTATGGAAACCTTTCTGTGTCCCAAGAGACCAAATAAAGGATACAACTTCCAATTAACGTAATTACCCCATCTGTTGTTCTCGACAACATTGTTGTATTGAAGCGCTCGTTTTTCAAGTCACTCTTTCCAGTGTGTTTCTAGCAACTACCCTTATCCTAGCAAGGTCTGCGTCATTTGCTACAGTTCTGACCGGTTCTTTTAAAACTTCTCCGTCACCGACATCGGGAATCCATCCCGAAACTGAATCGTAGTTTTTGGGATACAGAACCGTTTTCAACATTGTGTCAAACTCTCCGGGGTGTTTTATGGTCTCTATCGGATTTGAACCAGCTTCCAAAACCATTTCGCTGAATAAAGACGGAAAGAAGTTGTTTTCTAAAGTCGTGTTGGTTTGTGGAATTTGATTCTGAGTGGCGTCTTTGATTTTGAAATTGCATCGGAAATTGGCATCGGAAAGCAGCAACAAATTAGACAACGAATTAATTTCAAAGGTAACTCTTCCTCCGTCGTTTATTTGGGTCTTTGTCCCTACCGATGGTGAGATGATTACGTAATCCTCTTTCTTCTTGTTGAACAAATATTGAATCGGATCATATAATTGAAAGATTGGATCCAATCTGTAATTGTTGCTTGCCATTTTTATCCAATGATTTTAAACCATTTTCCTTGTTTTTCTCGGGCTTGTCGTTCTAGTCTCTTGTTTCTTAGTTCTCTTATTAGCTGCAGTTCTTTAAGTTCGTCAGATTTTTTCACTGCATCGCTAATATTTACTCCTGCTTTTGCCACAGAACCAAGAGCTTGCGCTTCTGAGGAAATGAAGGATTTGTTGTTTGAGACAAAATTGGCCACTTTGGGCATGAGAGATGTTAGCGCAGAGAAGAAACCGTCTCCTTCGAATTTTTTTTGTTCGTGTTTTAAAATTAAAGACATTTTTAATGCGGTTATTTTATACTGTATTATTATAGTGATTCTTGTCTGTGGTTTGGGTAATTTATATGGAGTCTGTTATAATACAGTTTGGAGGAGTCTGTTATAATATATTTTTTTTAACAGTTTGAGGAGTCTGTTATAATACATTTTAACAGTTGTGTCTTTTCGGATATGACGCATTGAAAAAGCTGCGCATGCACAGAAGTGAAATGCGTCATATCCGAAAAGACATATACCTGACATCTTAAAAACCGGATCAAACTGGATGCGCTATATCAGAAAAGACATATACTACTAACATGTTCAATTTTGAACTCATGAAGACTCCAGAAGGCAAATATTCATTCTTCAGCGCGGTACTGAATAATAATATGTTTTGTCAAAATCCGGCAAAATCATGCCTTTTAGTGTTTCATCAAAATCTGTCAATTGAACCTTCTAGAATATTTACGAGCTAAAAATTGAATGTGTTTTCAAGAACAAGGGCAATAACTCATACTAAATATTTTTCAATATTGATTTTCAATAGGGTTCATCTTTAGCTGATTACAAACACTTACACCAAGTTTCATCAAAATTTGTAGAGAATTGTGCCTTTTGTTTACATGCTAAAAATTGAATGTGTTATCAAGAACAAGGGCAATAACTCATACTAAATATTATTCGATTTTCTGGATTTTCAATAGGGTTCTTTCTTCGATGATAACAATCACTCACAATAAGTTTCGTCGAAATCCATCATGAATTGTGCCTTTTAGAGTGTTTACGAGCTTAAAATTGAAAGTGTTTTCAGGAACAAGGGCAATAACTTGTATTAAATATTTTTCGATTTTCAATAGGGTTCTTTCTTGGGTGATAACAAACACTCACAATAAGTTTCGTCAATTTGTGCCTTTTAGAGTGTTTACAAGCAAAAATTGAGCGCAATTTCAAGAACAAGGGCAATAACTAAATATTTTTTAGATTTTTCTGATTTTCGATAGGGATCATCCTTGGATGATAATAAACACTCACACAAAGTTTTGTCAAAATCTTTCGAGAATAGTGCCTTCTAAATATTTTTCGATTCTCCTGATTTTCAATAGGGTTCATCCTTGGGTGATTATGAACACTCATACCAAGTTTTGTCAAAATCCGTCAAGAATTGCGTCTTGTAGAGAGATTACGAGCAATTGTGAACGGACCGACGGACATGGAAGACGGCGAATTCCTCTCTTGATGTGTGTTTGACCTATATCTTCAAGTAGTTATATTTTCATTCATAAATTACCTCCCTTGAAGTTGAAACATTCGTTTGTCATTGAAATGTTAATTTAAGCCTTGTGCGTTATAAATTAATTAAATTGATCAAAGGCCTATATGACACAGCAAAAATTAACAATCTATAATTAGGGATAGGCCTACCCAGTCAAAATAATTCTATAAATAGTGCCTGGTATTTCAAACTTAGGGACCCAAACAAATTTGATATTGTTATTCTTCAGTATTGATTAAATCAAAAATAATGTCAAGGTGAAATGATGTTTGAAAACAAGAAAGCAAGCATGATCCCAGCCCTCTAAATTAAATTGTTCCGGTAGGCCTCCCATCATACATGCAATAGCATATTAAAAAATCAGTATTTTCTGAAAGCAATATTTAGTAAATAATATTATGTACAAATATTCATTCTTCAGCGTGGTACTGAATAATAAAACGTTTTGTCAAAATCCAGCAAAATCATGCCTTTTAGTGTTTCATCAAAATCTGTCAATTGAACCTTCTAGAATGTTTACGAGCTAAAAATTGAATGTGTTTTCAAGAACATGGGAAATAACTCAAACTAAATATTTTTCAATAGGATTCATCTTTGGGCGATTACAAACACTCACACCAAGTTTCATCAAAATCTGTAGAGTGTTTACAAGCTAAAAATTGAATGTGTTTTCAAGAACAAGGGAAATAACTCATACTAAATATTATTCGATTTTCCGGATTTTCAATAGGGTTCTTTCTTCGATGATAACAATCACTCACAATAAGTTTCGTCGAAATCCATCATGAATTGTGCCTTTTAGGGTGTTTACGAGCTAAAAATTGAATTTTTTTTTCCAGAACAAGGGCAATAACTCATACTAAATATTATTCGATTTTTCGGATTTTCAATAGGGTTCTTTCTTGGGTGATAACAAACACTCACAATAAGTTTCGTCAAAATCCATCATGAATTGTGCCTTTTAGAGTGTTAACAAGCTAAAATTGAGCGCGTTTTCAAGAACAAGGGCAATTACTCATACTAAATATTTTTAGATTCTTCTGATTTTCGATAGGGATCATCCTTGGATAATAATAAACACTCACACAAAGTTTTGTCAAAATCTGTCGAAAATAGTGCCTTCTAAATATTTTTAAGCATGATCCCAGCCGGTTGTTCCAGTAGGCCTCTCATCATACATGTAATACCATATTAAAAATCAGTATGTTCTGAAAGCAATATTTAGTAAATAATATTATGTACTGGCAATGTTACTTTTTCCAAAGGTGTAATTCATGACATCTAAAATATCTCCAGTCCGATTGTTCGGGATTGGTGTTTCGGACTACCTGTAATGTTCGTGAACGATGATCCGAATGAATGTTCGTTCTGTGATATGGAAAATAGGAAAAATATGTGTTCTTAAAAATGTTCATTCGTTCTGTTTTATCGTCAATAACAATAAGACTATGGCATAGTAAAGACTATTTGTGATAATTGTATTATATTATACTTATACATCGTAAATTTGTATTATTTATATTTTTGAATTTTTGATGTAGCCACATCAAGGAGGGGGATATGTTCGGGATCGGTGTTTCGGACTACCTATAATGTTTGTGAACGATGATCCGAATGACTCGACTGAACACGAAACATTACATCGTTCTTCGTCGCATCTCATCGCATCCTAAACACCGATCATTAAATACTTTTCCTGCAATACCCTCACAAAGTATTGAACCAAATTTGCTGCTTCCATTTTGACACTCTTCAGATATAGAAAGACTTGCAATAAGTAAGGCCATTATGCAGGCTATAAATGAATGTTTACAAGCTACAGTAAAATTACAAAACGAATTTATGAAACGAAGTTTGAGTTTACGTAAGAATTAGACATCCAATCGCGCATGATAATAAAAAATTTCTAAAACGATGCCTTTATTATATTGGCCTATTATAGACCTCCCAGATTGACGGTATAAAATACTATGAAAACTTCAAGATTTCGTTTTGTAGTAAAAGTAGGGCTTCTGTAAAATTTATTGTAAAAGCGAAAGTAGAATCTACCGGATTTTTTTAGAAAAAGTGTCTCACATGGGCTTAAAATACACATTATCGGGTGAAAATAGATCAAATTACCATCTTAATTGGGGGATTAATTAATCAGGCAATGATAAATTATTATGTGATGAGGTTAACGTGCGTTACTGGCAATCTAGATACAAGTAATGATAGATATTTTATATATTTATGGTATAGAATTTAGACATTGAAAACGGTAGGTCCTGTGAAAATTTGGTCAGGAAAATATAAAAAAATCGGTGGTATTGGGTATAATATTGGTGGCCTAACATTTCACAGTCAATTATGGCAATCATCAGGAAAAGCAAAAAAGGTTTTTAAAAGTCAAAAGATCATGTCAATACCGAATTATATATGGGTCAAAGCTAGATTTCATAATTAGCATCAATGTAATAAATTAAAAAATTAATGATGACATTTTCTTGAAAAATGAAGAGTTTTAGAGGCTTTCTTATAAGGTTGTTAAAAAAATTGTCAAAAACATATCAATACCTCTATATCAATAAATTTCTTAGACAGGATAATTAAAAAAAATAATGGAATAATTAGTATTTATCATGTTTTACTTGCAGAAAAGATCTGAATTTTACTATTGTTTAAATTTTATATAAAAGTAAACACACCCTAGTAGGATAAAGATTAAATTGGTTTCAATGTACATAATTACTTTTTATACAGGTTTTTATATGATTGTAAAGAGACTTACTTATTGTAGGTCATTGCGTTAGAAAGTTCTTCTATCCACATGTCATAGAAGTATGGCACAAAATTCACACTTTGATCTCGGGAATGCAGCTCAAATAGGTCAGCTTCTTTTAATGCTCTTTTATAGCCGTTGAACATCAACCTATAAAAAAAATTAATTAACAACAAAAGATCAATAGAATTTTGAATAGTAAATTGCATAAAAGATCTCCATGCAAGGTAAACAAAGGAATTTATATTACTAGGAACTCAGTTTCTTTTGGAAAGTTACTATTTCTACGCAAACTTCAAATATTAGAAGCAATTATTGAAATTACAATAATAAAATATAAATAGAAAAGTTTACACGCCTCGAAAAAAACCAGAACTATTGTTATTCATCATCAGATTTACAAGAAAACATGCTTCCTGCTTTCAAGCAAACCTACATCATGGAACTTCATAACAGGACAAAAAGTTGACCTCTTTTATGATAAAGTAATGAATATACGTGTAGTAGTGTTGTATATTATTGTGTAGCTTATATTGTTTCATATTGTCTTTTTGTATTTGCTTAGTTGCTATGTTGGTGTTTGTTATGTTGGCAGTTTCATTTTGTCGTCGTTTTGCTAAGTGTAGTTTTGTAAATTACACTCATCATGAGTCAAGTTAATGAGTCTTCTTTCCTATAGGTGGCAGTTTTTCACTAGTTTCCTAGTTACTTTGTTTTTGTTTTTCATAAGGAAAGCATTAAGTTTCAAATGTTGAATATTTATAGTTTCACAGAGGATAATTATATTGAAATACTACTTTGAATTAAAACTCCTAGGAATTAGGGTAAACAATTGTATCTAATTGTAAATAGGTTAAATTGTAAATATTATTCTTATCCGTTTTTAAAACTGCCGCATATTTATTTCCATTACATAAAACTATCGTTTGGGTTATTTCCTAGTGTCTAAAATATTTATTTTATTTATTTATTTCAGAGTTTATAATATACACATTATATCTATAATATACCGAAGTATTTGCTATTACTTAATAAACTATTTTATATCATGTTTTCCTGTCACTGGTTTTTCCCCGTTACATAAGGAAGAGAGTTATTAACATTAAACCTACAGAACAATTCCCAGAAAAAAATCTTGATTGCAAAATTTTGAATAGTTTCAATTGACAACACCACATGTAATCAACAAAATTTATTGTTAAGTCTTCTCACTCTGCTCCAAAGTCATTTGATCTCAACCTTATTCCAACTTGAATCATTAAAAAATGGGTTGAGGAACTTTCTGAATTGTTCAGCTGAGCTAATACTTTATTATCAAAAAGTATCTCAACCTGGTATTTCCTTTTTAGACCTTATCAACAACTTGTATTTTCAAGTGGTTAATAACAAACAATACTAGAACCACTTGTGGTACTGAGTGGGACTTTGCTCATGTGCCAATTTGCTATAGAATCTGAAAAAAATCATGTTCTTAGCCAATTAGGTGACATGCTAAAGCAGTCAAAAGTTTTGAAAAATTCTCTTTTTTTGGAAAGTTGTGAAAGCGGAAGCAGAAGTCAAACATCAAATATGAAAGTATCAGTAGATTGCAAAAGGTCAATTACCTTTGACCTTGTTAAGGGGGATTGTCATTTAAGGTCAAGGTCACTAGATATCGGTCATCAAACTTTGAAAATACTTTAAATAACACCGAAATTTCAGTTATATATCAATGGTAGAGCACGATGAACACATTCAGAATCCACGAAAATTAACCCTCTGAGTTAATTAGTTAACAAGCTATAAAACCGGAAGTAAATGTCAGAGGTCAAATATGAAAGTATCAACTGATAGCCAAGGTCAATGACCTTTAACCCATTTAAGGTCAAGGTCAAAAATTTAAAATATTTAATTTCCAAAACCTGCTCCTTTTTTGAGTTATGAAGCTGCAACAACCGAACTTCTAAGACAGAGTGGCTCAAAGGATGAGGTAATTGCATGCAAAGTTTAATTTTGAACAAATGAATTCTATGCTAGTTATGCCCCTGGCCAAAAATGTCAATAATGAGTAATTTAACCTGCATGTGCCACGTCCACATCATTTTCTTGGCATATGTTAATTAATATTCTAGATGTTATGTTGTATTCCAAATTTATAGCTTCTACAACATACATGGCAAAAGATATAGGTCAACAAAAGTCAACAGAGGTCAAAATCGAAATTGAAAATATGGAAATTTTAAAACCTGTTCCTTTTTTAGAATTATAAAAACAACGGAGCTGTTAACACAAACTGACCAAAAGGATGAGGTAATTGTGTGCAAAGTCCCTTTTGGAACAAATGTATCCTATGCAAGTTATGCCCAGCCCCAAAATGTAAACAATTAGTAATGTGCCACGCCCACCTCAACTTTTTTGTCATTGGTGAATTCATAATAAAGAAGTCTAGTTGTATTTCCAAATTTCTAGGTTTTACATCCAATAGGTCATAAGATATACATACACCAAGCTCAAATGAGACACAAATATTGTAAAAAGCACTCAAATTTGAAAAAAACACAAATTTCAATTTTGCTTTAAAAACAACTGTAATATATCACTTGAAAGAGCATGAGAAGCACATTTAAAATCCGAAAAAAATTAACCCTATAGGTTAATTAGGTCACGTGCTACAGCAATCTAAAGTTGCGAATTAGGCTGTTTTCAGACAGCTATAAAACCGGAAGTACAAGTCGGTAGTCAAATATGAAAGCATAAACTGATAGCCAAGGTCAATGACCTTTGACCCATTTAAGTTCAAGGTCATCAAAGGTCAACGTCATGAAATATGAAACCTACAAACTTTCAAAAATTTTAACAGAAAATAGCAAAAAAGCAAAAAAAGAAATAAAAATCGGGCTTCCAGAGGCTTCTTATTTTTTTATGTTCTTTCATTTGACACCAAAATAATATAAATTGGATAAACTGTTATCTCTGGATAGCTTTCCATAAAAAAATTCAGGTTAATCGGACAATAAACAAAAAACAAAATTTGGCCAAAAAGTGTGCAACAAATCTTTAAATTGCAATTTTTTTTTACTTCTATCATATCAGATATTACATGTAGATTCCCAATATAAAATTCCTAAGAAAGCTGATCCGAAAATGCGACCTCTTGAGCCAATTTTCTACTTTTTGCACATTTCGTAATATGCAAATACTGGCTTTGCAAAAATGTTCCAATTCATATTTGATAATAACGTTGCCACTACAGATGTAGAAATGTTGCTGCAACTACTGCAGTCTAAGCACAGGAAGGTGTGTTAAAAAAGAATTGACATTTCGATAACAAACTGGGACTTTGCAGAATGCTTCCGCAAAGTCCAACAAATAGAACCACATGTGGTAAAGAATGGAACTTTGCTAATGTGACATGTGGTTGCCTAGCAAGATACGCCCACTTTCCTGATACATTTTCAGTATATTAAGGGCAGTGACCAATCTGTGTCAAATCTTACCAAAAATATAATTTGTGCAAGATATTGTTGATTTAAACAAACACACAAATTTTGAAGCGTATTAACTAAGTCAAGGCACATATCTCAAATTCTGTTGTTCGAAAAATTGTCAAATTCCATCTTGAGTAAGATCTTATCATTATAAATGATCATACCAAATTTCATTTAAATCGGACAAAAAATGTAGTCTCTATTGTGTTAACAAAAAAATGAATCAGGGGCAATGACGGATGGACAGGGGCAACGACAATATACTATCACATTAAAATGTGCCCATTAGAATGTGGGAATATAAAACCTACCTTCTAGGCTGATTAGAGGTTAATGATCTTTGACCTTGTTAAAGGAAAGGTCAATATAGGTCAAGGTCATGAGTCATAAAACTCTAAAAACTTGATATCTAACATCAAATATGTAAGTATTCTTGGATATCTCTTCATAAATGACCTTCATAAATGACCTTCATAAATCCTCATAAAATGCACAACCATTCTAAAGAAATCAGTTTTTCATATACAGTCAAGTAACCTAATTTCGTGCAAACCTATTATTTGTGGATTTCCGGAAATGTTTAATAATTTACATGAGCGACCTTGCGCGACCTCCGCTTTAGTTTGTTTTAATAAACATGGGTTTTCTGTACAATATCAGCTAGTAGAATGAATCCAGTAGTTTCTAGCAAGGTATAATGTATTAATGTATATTTTGACAAATACAAAATGGCGGATTTCAGTTATTACCAAACGTCACCATTTTTTATCGGCCGAATTTCCTTATAATCCCAAGCGGTAATCGGAATTCCAAGTGTCGTCTGCTAGAATGTATTCCTTCTTTGAAGAAATTGTCACTAGTTATAATGAATTGATATTAAAGATAAATACTAAGAGAAGTTAATTATACCACCCTGTATCCATACAACTTGTTTTTCTAGACTTAGTTATAGATCATACATTGTACACGAAAATAGGTGACGCATTCTGCCACCGTTGCCGAGTTGGTTGCTCATGAAATATGGGTCAAAATGAAGGATTCATAAAGAAAATCGAAATAAACCAATTTTAATTATTTTGTAAAATATCTGAGGAAACATCTAAGATATAAAATTTTTTTTTCGTTTTTTCAACTTTGACGAAATTCGATGTTGAATCCTTATATCCACGAAAATAGGTTACACCACTGTAATAATTCCATATTTTCATAACAGTAGATATAGATCAGTCAACGACTTTAACAACAACAGTTGTAACTTGCAATATGTCTCTCAAATTGGTTTAGCTAACATTTCAAAGTAAGAAAATTTGGCAGATTTAGTCATGTGATGTAACAAGAATTCATCATTTTGAATCTGGATGTAGTTTTCAGGATTCCTCAAGCTTTTTTAGGTCAACACACTATTTCAAACTTAATGAATATTTTCAGTTAACCCATGCCTACCAACCTTTCTCAAAATGCAATCAAAAGTGTAGTCTTTATCATTTTCACAAGCAAATATGAATTGATAATGGGATGGACAAGAGTGTGAGACTAAGAAACAAACCTGTGGATAAAATGGGTAGTGTCTCGAAAAAAGCTTGGGTTAAGGGGAACAAACTTTTTAATGTGTTCATCGATAAAGCTACTTATAAATTTAGTGGGTGTCTGTTCCCACTGATTATAGGTGGACCGAGGACTTTGTCTGGTTCGCAATTTTTGTTTTTATTTTTGGTAATAGGTAAAAGCATCCTGGATTAGGTTTGTCTACTTTGTCTGCTGTCTATTTAGGATTACTACAGCTGAGCCCTTGTGGCCTTTTTATATGTGGTCGTATATTGTCGTCGCCCCTGTCCGTCGGTCAACATTTCTTGTGAGCACTATAGGGACTACAGTTTTTATCTGATTTTGATAAAACTTGGTGTGATGCTTTAGATTGATAAGATCTCGGTCAAGTTCGAATTTGACATATTTTCGATGAACGGTTTTTGAGATATTGCCCTTGACTTAGAACGCCTTGAAATTTGTTAAAAATTGTTCGTGAGCAGGATTGTAGTTACAGTTTTCAACCGATTCTGATGAAACTTGGTGTGATCATTGGAATTGATAAGATCTCGGACATGTTCTAATTTGACGCATTTTCGATGAACCGTTTTTGAGTTATTGCCCTTGACTTTGATAAAACGCGTCAAAATTTGTTAAAAATAATTCGTGAGCAGGATTCAAGCTACAGTTTTCAACCGATTCTGATGAAACTTGGTGTGATCATTGGAATTGATAAGATCTCGGACAACTTCTAACTTGACGCATTTTCGATGAACAGTTTTTGAGTTATTGCCCTTGACTTTGTTAAAATGCGACGAAATTTGTTAAAAATAGTTCGTGAGCAGGATTGAAGCTACAGTTTTCAACCGATTCTGATGAAACTTGGTGTGATCATTGGAATTGATAAGTTCTAACAAGAGATATTTTTGATGAACATTTTTTGAGTTATTGCCCTTGACTGTGTAAACACGCGTCAAAAGTTGTTTTTTGCCCTTGATTAGAGCTGTGTGATTTAATTGTTTGTTGTATTTGGGTTATTGATATTGATTTTAAAAAATTTTGTGGAATTATTCAGCATAAATAATTTCTTCAATATGAGAAAATTCGTACTTTAGTCACTAAAGACTGTTTTATTATTTCTGACAGCTGCCAGTGGGCGTATGTTACCTTGCAACACAAGCTATCTTTGTTGATGATGTCGGTGTCAATTTTGAGTGTACTAATGGCTTACCTTTCTGAATGGGAGAGTTTTACTAAAATTTAATTGTGTCCATGATTAAGAGCTGGCGCCTGACAACACGCTAAAAGATTTCTACGTTACTTTGGGGTTGGCTCCCATGTTTTGGGTCCAAGTGCTTCTACGACGAACTTTCTTTCCAGTTGGAGGTTGAGGGTGTTGGCAGGTTTAGGAGTATTGGCAAAGTGGTCTCATTTTCCGAAATAGTGTTCTCATATCTAAGAGGGTCTTGCTTAGGTCTATGCCAGTTGGTGTAGGGCTAAAAGTGAGATTTCATGTGTGCTGAGGTCCAGGTTGGAAAGAGAAGATTTATTAGAATGAGCATTACAATTTCTTGAATCATCCGTTGGATATTGGGTCGGCAGGCATGGTTGCATGAAGAGGATCTGGAGCGGGTTCTCTTGTTGTTGTTGTTAAAACTAGGGGACCTCGAGTTAGTTCGGGTTGGTTGGTTGGGCGGTTCAGTGAAGTGTTTACTTTTCAAGGAATCATCTTGGCAATTCTCAAGTCTGAGTTGGGGTTGAAGTTTGGATTTCCCTGTGGCGATTTCTCTGTTGATGACCTCATTGATGGCTACTCAGATTCTTGAAGTTGCCTAGCATCAAAGATTTCCGTGAGTTTCAGTTGGGCCGTCGATACCTCATTGGACAGGGTTTGGCAGATCTGTTCCAGGTGTTGGATATGAATCTTCAAGCTGGTGAGACAAAATTCTTTGGTGGCATGGTCTCCGTCTTTTCCGCGATGTTGGTTTCATATATTGTGTTGCCAATGTAGGGCCTTGGCCTAAAAGATGAGGGTATGAGTTTGGCTGCATGCCATGCTTCGTTGAAGTCACCATGTACTTGGACGCAAGCTGTTTTGCTTCTAATATAGATCACAGATTTGTAGTAAGGGAGGATGTTTTTCAGGTAG